TATCAGAAGCTGACAACACCAATTTCAACTCTTAAGTAAAGAAATTGATCTGTTTTAACTGCCTTCGTCAGAAGATCTGCAAGTTGTTTCTGAGTGCTACAATGCAGAACTTCTAACACTCCTTTCTGAACTTGATTTCTGAGAAAGTGAAACTTCGTCTCAATGTGCTTGCTTCTTCCATGTAGCACTGGATTCTTGGCAAGGTCAATTGCAGATTTATTGTCAATCATCAGCTTCAGAGGTTCCTCAATCTCAACCTTTAAATCATGCAGAAGATTCAGAAGCCAAACTGCTTGACAAGCAGCTACAACACCTGCGATATACTCAGCTTCACATGTTGACAGAGCTACAACAGGCTGTTTCTTGGAACTCCAGGAAATGGGACCTCCCAGAAATTTAAACAAGTATCCAGAGGTACTTCTCCTGTCCACTCTGTCTCCGCACCAGTCAGAATCATAGTAACTTACTAATTCTGATTTTGTCTTTCTTTCAGAAGGAAACAACACTCCATATCTCAGAGTTCCCTTAATATATCTCAGAATTCTGACAGCAGCTTGAAAATGAGACCACTTGGGATTACTCATGAATCTGCTGACCAATCCAACTGCATAACAAATGTCAGGTCTAGTATTACATAAATACCTTAGAGAGCCAACCAGCTGTTTAAAGGTTGTAGAATCAACAGAATCACCATCAGAGTCAGAATCCAGTTTTTGATTGGTTTCTGATGGTGTCACAGCAACTTTGCAGTTCTGCAACTTAAATCTCTTCAGAAGTTCTTGTTCATATTTTAGCTGGTGCAGAATGATACCCTTCTTCGAGTACATAATCTCCATTCCTAGGAAATATGTCATTTTTCCTAGATCTGTCATCTCGAATTCATTCATCAGAACTTCCTTGAACTTCTCTATATCTTTTGGGCAGCTACCTGTTAGCAAGATGTCATGAACATAGAGACACACCAGAATCATATTGCTATCAGAGTGTTGTACATAAACTCCATATTCCATCTCACACTTCTGAAAACTCTGCTTCTTGAAAAATGAATCAATTTTCAGATTCCAAGCTCTAGGCGCTTGCTTCAGTCCATACAAAGCCTTATTTAACCTGTATACCATCCCTTCCTGATTCTTTTTCACAAATCCAGGAGGTTGTGACACGTAAACTTCTTCCTGTAATGGACCGTTCAGAAATGCTGACTTCACATCCAGATGTATTAAAGGCCAATTTCTGTTTGCAGCTAAAGCAATCACCAGTCTGATTGTTTCATGCCTAGCTACAGGTGCAAATACCTCAAAATAATCTAGCCCAGGTTTCTGAAGAAAACCTCTAGCTACTAGTCTAGCTTTGTGCTTGCCAATGGAACCATCTGGCTTAAGTTTCAACTTAAAAACCCATCTGACGCTGATGGCTTTTTTCTTATCTGGAAGTTTAGTCAATTTCCAAGTTTTATTCCTTTCTATTGCCTCAAGTTCTTCTTTCATGGCATTAAGCCATTCTTTCTTCTTGAGAGCTTCTTCAATGCCCACTGGTTCAGAATCTACCAACATGGCACACTGAACGACTTCTCCTTCAGAGTCAACGTCATTATCCTGCAGCATGTCAAAATCTGCAAACCTTCTGGGTTTTTGTCTGATTCTTTGTGGTCTTTGGGCTTGTTCTGAAACTGCACCATAACTACTACTTTCAGAGTTACCACCTTCAGAGTTTTCCCTTCCAGAACTCTGATTACCACCAGATTCTGGATCATCATCAGTATCTGGATCAGAACCAGATCTATTACCAGAAACTTCTTTTGACTCATCTTCAGAATCTTCAGGATCTTCAGAATCAGATTCATCTTCTGATCTTTCTAAAACAACTTCAGAGGATAACTCTGGTGTTGGCACTACACCAGAATCAGATTGAGATTTGTTCCAATCCCATGCTTCAGATTCTTTCACCACAACGTCTCTGCTGACTTCAACTTTATTAGTTTCTGGACAATAAAGCTTATATGCACCTGTACTGTGGTACCCCACCAGTAACATTATTTTGCTTCTATCATCAAGTTTTTGTCTTCTAGCTTCTGGAACGTGTTTGTAACAGACACAGCCAAACACTTTCAGATGACTGACACTCTGCTTATCTCCAGTCCATTTCTCTAAAGGAACATCTTCCTTCAGTTTCTTCGTTGGACACCTGTTCAGAATATATGCTGATGTGGCAACAACTTCTCCCCATAGCACATGAGGTAGCTTTTTCTCTTTCAGCATACTTCTGGTCATATCAAGCAAAGTTCTGTTTCTTCTTTCAGCAAGACCGTTGTGCTGAGGAGTATATGGGGCAGTAACCTCATGTTCTATTCCATTCTCCTCACAAAAATTCTGAAACACTGTAGAGTTATACTCACCTCCACCATCTGTTCTCAGAATTTTTAACTTCTGACCACTCTGCTTCTCAGCCTTCACCTTGAATTTCTGGAACTCAGTAAACACTTCATGCTTGAACTTGATAAGTGTTACCCATGTCATTCTTGTGAACTCATCCACAAAAGACACAAAATAATTGTTTCCTCCAAGTGAAGATACTGGAAATGGTCCACACACATCAGAATGTACTACTCCCAGAGCATGTTTCGCTCTGGGGGCTACTTCTGATGTAAACGGAAATCTAGGTTGCTTACCTTTCATGCATATCTCACATGACTTCTCAGGCTTCACAATTTTTGAAATACCACGTACGAGCTTCTTAGAACATAGATGCCCTAAGCTTCTGTAGTTTAAGTGCCCTAACCTCTTATGCCACAGCTTACTGTTACTTTCAGCACCTTCTGTACTAAGGCACGTTGCTTCAGCTGTTTCTACATTCACCTTGAATGTTCTGTTGCTTCCTTGTTCAGACTTCATAATTAACTTCTGATTGGAATCATACAACGTCAGAAGATTGTTTTTCATAACAACTGAAAAACCTTTCTCAATCAGCTGACCTACGCTCATCAAATTGCTTCTAATACCAGGAACATACCAGACATCTCTGATCAGAATGTCTTTCCCATTCTTCACTCGAATTCTGACATCTCCCATACCTTCTGCATTAAGGTATTTGTCATCAGCACATCTGATCTTTGTACTCTTTTCAGAGTCAAAGTTTGTCAGCCATTGTTTGTTTCCAGTTAAATGATTTGAGCAACCAGTGTCCATATACCACCAACCTTCTGAGAATTTTTCATCAGAGTCAGAGGCCATTAGCAGTACAAGTTCATCATCAGAGTTTCTCTTAGCCATATATGCTTCTTCTGATTTCCTACCCCTGTTTGACCTACAATCTCTGGCAAAATGGCCCAATTGTTTACAGGAGTAACATTGAACCTTCCTTTTGTCATACCTCTCCTTTCCTTTCTGATACTTCTTATCATCAGAAGTTGAGGCTTCTGGTTTCTGGAATCTATCACCACGTCTATTATGCTTCTGGTCTTTCTTGACAAAAGAAGCCTTCAGAGATTGTTCAGCTTCTCTCTCAGAAGTTCTCTCAGACAGACGTAACTCCTGTGCTTCTAAGCTGCTTTGTAATTCTTCTATTTTCATGGTTTCCAGATTTTTAGAATGTTCAATAGAAACAACAATGTAATCAAACTGAGGAGTGAGCGACCTCAGAATCTTCTCAATGATTACCTGTTCCGTCAGAGTTTCTCCACATGCCTTCATCTCGTTAGTGATCAGAATCACTCTGGAGATATATTCAGAAACTTTCTCACTGCTCTTCATGTTCAGGTTCTCATATTGCTTTCGTAGGGATTGAAGCTTCACCTTCTTTACTGCTGTGTCACCACCATAACATCTCGCCAGCAAATCCCATGCCCCTTTAGACGTTGTTGAATCAACAATCTTCTCGAACACATTTTCATCCACACACTGATGGATATAGAACAGAGCTTTCTGATCCTTCTTTCTCATCAGCCTCTCAGCAGTTCTCTGTTCTTCAGTGGCATCTGCTGCAGCTGGTACATAACCATCTGTAACCAGATCTAGAACATCTTGTGCACCGAACAGTACACGCATTTGTATCATCCATCTGTTCCAGTTTTTGCCATTAAAAACAGGAAGTTTAGTGCTCAAACTACCGTCTCCACTCATTTTAACCTTGCACAAATTTTCAGATCTTTACCACACTGTTTCCCAACCCACAGAATCAAATTCTGTTCAGAATTTTGTTCAAGATTTCAACAGAAAATCAAAGAACAAAAAACTCAAACACACAGCTCACAAACACTCGTGTTTCCCAGGAAAACAGAACCAAAAGCTCTAGATACCAATTTGTTGGTGCAAGGTAATGAAAAGGAGAGATAAATAATGAACAATGAATGATAACAAAGATGACTACTTTCTTGTATTCAAAAGAGGGATGAATAAGGGGATACAATATTGATAGCTTAGGTAGCATATTTATACTAGAATTAGAAAATGCCAAAAGGCTCTAGTCAAAGAGAAAGCATTGGGAATTGTGGACATTAAATAAATTACATTTCCAATAACATTGACTAAATTATATTTCCAATAGTTTCTATAGAGATCCTTTGATGTCTTTTGATTATTTGCTTCTGGTTCTGAGTTTGAGACTGATAGCTTGTCTTGATCTTCTGATGAGTAATTCAGAGCCTGTCATTGAGACATTTTTGAAAGCATGTTATGTTTCTGACCAATGAAATAGACTTGTTGAGAATGTATTCTTTTGCTTGTTTCTGCTTCTGAATCTTAATCTATTTGACATGTTGTTAGAATCTTTATGATAGAGGATCACCTTAAAAGATATAAGTGACAACTTGTCTGAGAGATTTCTTCAGTTGTAGGAGGCTTCTGATTATCTTCATTTCTACTGTTTAAATGTAACTCCTTTTTATAGAATCTTTCTGTCATAACATCTGCGCACTCAATGAAACCATTATTAACACTAAAATTGTTACTTATAAAATATATGGTTTTTATCATCAAAACAAAGAATTGCTTAGAAGATTTGTTTCTCTAACAGGAAGCAGCTGAGTAATTGGTTGGTTCAATTTCATAAGAAAGAGAAAGGATGTAAGCTTGATGGTTAGGTGATAATTTGGAAAAAGACATACATTTTTCAGTTGGATATTGACAGGAAGATGAGGTATTAGAATTACAAATGTAGTCTTTTAAATGAGTAGGTGCTTGTGTAATATGTGTGAATTTCCTAGTTGATTCAAGTTTAATACTAGGTATATCAATGTGTTGATCATTATCAGGGGTGTTTGATGTGGAAACATCATCATTAGTAGGTTTTGACACAACAACAGGTGAGACTTCTACTTCTGATGGAACATCAGCTAATTTAGAGTCAACATTTGATTCAGGTGAGATATCAGTGTTGGGATTAGGCAAGGGTGTACGAATTGACTCAGTGAGTGTGAAAGGTTGATGATCAAGGTATATATTTGTAGGTATGTATGTTTCAGAGTGATCGAGAAAGGGAAATGTCATGTAAATTTTTTTAACATTTCTAGATATATGAATATCATGAGTAACTGTATCTAAGAGTATGAAACCTTTCATACCTGCCTTGTAACCCAAGAAAACAACTTTCATGGCTCTTAAATCAAACTTGTGTCTGTTTTTTGGAAGAGTAGAAGCATAACTTAAACAACCAAACACTCTTAAGGAACTCAGATCAGGCATAATACCATACACGACTTCATAAGAATATTTGTTATTTAGGACTTTGGTAGGGATTATATTCATGAGAAATATTGCATGGAGATAGCATAAGACCAGAATTCCTTTGGCAAGCTTGATTGAAACATGAGTGCTCTACTGATATTAAGAATATGCTGATGTCTTCTCTCAATCCTCCCATTTTGTTGAGGAGTATAAATACATGTTCTTTGATGAAGGATGCCGTTTTAGGCATAGTATGTAGGCATGAGAAATTCAGTTCCATTATCACTTCGTATGACTTTAATCTTTTTTCTAAATTGTGTTTCAATCATGGTCATAAAATCTACTATCGTTTGACCTACTTCAGTTTTAAATTTCATCTTGACAACCCAAACATGTCTACTATGATCATCTAAGATAGTTATAAAATACTTAAAACCATGCAATGAAACTGTATTAAAAGGTCCCCATATGTCTACATGAATGAGGTCAAACAGGTTACAAGCATTACTATTGCTGATAGGAAAAGGAAAACATTTTTGTCTAGCTTGTTGACACACATCACAAGCTTTATGAATGCTACTAGGAATGTAACTATACATACTACTCATACATCTCATTATATCATGTGATAGATAACCTAATATCAAGTTCCACAAAATGGGTGGTGCTACATCATCAGTTCTTTTATTTGTGAAGATGCTAGAGATAAATCTTGTATTGCTTGCCATGTGAGATACACCTAACTCCAAGTAATGCAATCCATCAAGTTCTCTAGTTGAACCAATCTTCCTCAAACCATTATTTTCCTGTATAACACATCTGTTAGTTTCAAAAACTAAGTTGCAATCTTGCTCTTTACATAGTTTTGAAACAAATATGAGGTTAACTTCAAATTGTGGCAGATATAAAACACCTTTAATAACAAAATCATTGGACATTTTACATCTCCACATATTGATGTTGTTATGGAATTTCCATTAGGGAGATTAACCAACATATGATTGATTTTATCATGCTTCAAAAACCAATCTAAATTATGACATATATGATAAGTAGCTCCTGTGTCTAGAATCCAACTTGTACTACTAACAACATTAAAGTTAGCAATGTAATATTTACCTCCCTTTGTGAGATTAATGGATCGTGTGTTTTTCTCAAGTAGCACCATCAAGTTGTGATATTGCTCCTTTGTTAAAGTCATACTTCCACTATCACTTGTTGATCCAGCTGCAGTCTTACTATTAGATGTGTCAACTTCAACTTAATTTGCATAAGATGAGTTTTCTCGACCAAGATTTAGTGGATACCCATGCTTCTTGTAGCAATTGTCAACTATGTGGCCATTTTTACCACAACGCGTGCATACTTTAATATTACCTCTTCCTATGCCAGCATAACTATTTCCTTTACCTCTTCCAAGTTACATTGTTCCATCCACTGCATTGATCACGCCACGCCATCTTCAATGGTATTACTGCCAGAAAATATGATGCCACATGTATTCCTTTCCTGCTGCAGAACCATTGAGAAAACTTTGTTAATTTGAGGCAAAGGATCCATAAGCAATACTTGTGAGACCACTCCATGATATTCTTCACTTAGACCAATTAAGAATTGAATGATTCTGTCTTCAGCTCTGAAATTTCTACAGTTTCTCATTGCTAAACATGCACAAGTCGCATGACATGTGCAATTTATAATAGGTCTGTATTGATCTATTTCCTCCCATAAACTTCTCAATTCAGTGAAATATTCCAAAATATTCTTATTACCTTGATTTATATTGTAAATTTATTGATACAATTGTGCCACACGAATCTTATCACTTCTCATGAAATGATCCTTTAGATCATTCCATACATCAACAACACTATTGATGAACATTATGCTTTGAGAAATCGATGGTGTAATTGAGTTTATGATCCATGTGTGCACGAGATTGTTGCACCTTTGCCATGCAACGTAGTTGAGATCACCTACATCAGGAAATTTAATTGTTCCATCAACAAACTAAAATTTATTCTTCATCGTCAATGCTCGTCTCATCTTCATTGACCAAGCATGATAGTTATCGTCAGATAGTGCAGAAGTAACACATACCCTGGAAGAATTCTCTGAAGGATGAACATAATATGGATCGAGCTGATCCTGAACCTGATTGTTGTTATTGTTTCTCGTCATATCAACACGGATGTAAGAACAGAGAACGAAAAAGAATTAAGGAACAAGAACAAAGAATTTGATCGATACAAGAACGAACAAAAAAACACAACGCTTCAAGAAGAAGCAATCACAAACATGATCAAAGCACTCAAGCAATAAATAAAAAGCAGCAGAGATAGAGCAAGATTAACTTGCTCTAATACCATCTAAGCAAATGAAACACTCAATTAATGGAGTGTAATGTGGAAACAATGCATAAAGTAGAGAAATAGAGAATGAAGAAGAAGTTGCATTGAATCAGTTGGAAAGTTAGTTACAAAGTGGTTTATATAATAACCAAACACTAACTAACTATAAAGCAAAAATAATCCAATGAAAAGGGAGCATGCTATAATCATGAACCCTCATGCTCTTCATGCAATGTGTCATCCGTTAATACCATATTCCTTTATTTTTTGGTTTTCCTCCGAATATAATTTCACGATCCTTTAGATTCTAACCTATTTCAATATTAACCAAATCCTACATATTCATTAAGCTTTACCTTTAAAACTCATAAACTCTCTGCACACGATACTCCCTCTTCATCTCTGCTTCACAAATTCAATGAACACTCTAGTGAGAGGAAGAGATTCTGTTTTGAGAAACTGAAAAGTCATAAGCCAACGACACTGTTTTCATGCTTTACTTTTCATTTTTATTATATTTTTAAATTTAATTGAATAACTAATCATATATCGTGAATAATGAAATATAGACGGATGGTTGATTGCATTGGGCTTAGATGCATGGGCTCATCATTCTCACTCCCTTTATGATCATACTCCTCTCACTCTTATCCCTTCGTTCATTCTTATTTTTTTGATTTTTTTCTAGAATTTGAATCCTTGATTTTTTTTCTTGCAATTATTTTACATGATTTTTGGTATTTTTTCTTGATGAATTTGTGAATATGTTGCTTCTGATGTTGGTGTATTTTTCTTAATTTATTTCATACTTTTGTTATCTTTCCATTTTGAACTATGGATTTTAGATACACAACATATATTAGGGGTGTTCAAATCCAAACCTATCCAAATAAAAAATCGAAAACTGATCCAAAAAACTGAAAACCGCAAAAAAACCGAAATTTATTGGATGTGTTTGGATGTTATTTTGTGAAAACCGATCGGTTCGGATCGAATTTCAGATTAATTTTTCAAAACCGATCCAAACCAAATCGAACCGCATGCATATATTTTTATACTTATTTATTTTTTATTAGTATGATATGTTACGTGAATTTATTATTAAATGATAATAATTTTTTTAATAATATTTATTAGCTTGATATAATCTATTTATTTTTATTATTTCAACCATAATCGATCACTCTTGTTTTGTAATATTAACTTTTAATATACTATATGTTATATATTATATCAAATCTATGATTTATTAGTAGTGTTATAATATTAATTAAAATATAATGTGTAATTTGGATATCCAAAAACCGATCTAAATTAAACCGCATAAAATTAGATCGAATCAGATTGGATTTTTAAAATATATCATCCTAAACCAAACCGAATCGCAAGTAAATTTATCTTTGGATGGAATAAGTTTTTGTCTTAAAATCGATCCAAACTGAATCGCGAACACCCCTAACATATACTACCCTATTTCTAAAACATTGGGTTAGAAGGAATAACCAAAGGATTGATATGTTAAAAAATGACACAATGGATGAGATTAGAGACCAAGCATGTATGTGCGATATTGCTAAGAATTATTTTGAGAACCCGTTCTTCAAAAAAGAGAGTAAGTACGATCTTATTCTGCAACTTATAGGACCGTCTGTTATGATGGAGGATAATATGAGTCTCGTGCGTCCCATCTCTACAGAAGAGCTTCACTTTGCTTTGCTAGAAATGCACCCGGGAAAGTCTCCAGGCCCAGACGACTTCAATCCTGCATTCTACCAATAATACTGGGAAGTTTGTGGTAATGATATTTTTAATGCTGTGAGACAGTGAATGGACAATGTCTCTTTTCCTAGCTCTATTAATGATACAAACATGGGTTAATAGCATTTTTGCCCCCTGTCATATATGAGACGTTTGCTTTTTCTACCCTGTAAATTTTTTTGTTGTAAAAGCACCCTTGCCATATGAAGATTCTGTTCTTTTAAACCTTTGTGAGAAATGACACACTCCAAATGCCTATCGACTAGACCATCTAAACTTCAGGGACATCAGAGATTTAAAGAGGAATAATATGGTTTCAGGATTTCCAGAAATCGATATTCCAAACGAAGTGTGTGAGGAATGTATGCAAGTGAAGCAACACAAGAATAGCTTCAGCAGGGATGCAGGAAGCAAGTCGAAGGCTATTCTCGAAGTCATATACTCTAATGTATGTGGACCAATCCGGGTGGATTCGTATGTAGGTAACAAATACTTTGTCACATTCATAGATGATTTCAGTCAAAAACTGTGGACTTACCTAATCAAGAAGAAAAGTGAAGTGATGAAGGTATTTGCCAAGTTTAAATCTATGGTCAAAAGACAAAGTGGTCGAAAGCTCAAAGTTTTAAGAACTGATGGTGGTGGAGAGTATGTGTCAAATGATTTCGACAAATCATTTGAAAAAGAAGGGATTGCACATGATATGGTGCCACCCTACACTCCACGGTAGAATGGAACTGCAGAAAGGAAGAATCAAACTATCATGAATATGGTAATAAGTATGTTAAAAACCAAGAGTTTACCTAAAGAGTTTAGGGGTGAAGTTGTTTCTACCGCAACATATATTTTGAACAAATGTCCAACAAAGAAGTTAGAAGGAATTACTTCAAAAGAATGTTGGTCTGGTGT